AGCTCCTGGATGCCACGGAGGAACAAAAGGAGCCGGTGAGCAGCCCAGCACTGCCCAGCCTCCTGCCCTGCAGCCTCCCAGCACTGCCCAGCCTCCTGCCCTGCAGCCTCCCACCCCTGCCACGCAGGAAGACACTGGAGTGAGGGCTGGGCACCCTGTGTCCCCTCCTCTGTCACTCCCCCCCATCTCTTGGGGGTCCCAGCACCCAGCTAGGTCAATGCTGGGGGGGAGGCTGCTGTGATGCTTCTCTTTGCACCGTGCTGGCTGAGCGTGGCCCTTCCCTGCACTCCTCACTACTCTGTAAATATATTTATTTAAGTAAATTTCTACTGACTCCAGCTGCATCTCACCTTGCTTTGGCTGGGCGGGGGGCTTGGGAGGGGGTGGGTTAGCCACTTGCCCCACTTGGCAAGCTGGAGCTGTGATGGTGCAAGGAGAGACGTGTTGCAAGTGCTTCTCAAGGAAGCTGCTGCCTTTCTCCTCCTCCCTGCCACCCTGGCATGGAGCCGGGAACCCTCCTGGCATGAGGACACAGGTTCCTTCACCCCAACGCTGTTCACCCATGGCAGCTGGCACAAAACCTGCTCTTACTCCATAAAAAGGGGTGAAAGTTGCCCCTGTCCCAGGGGTGCTGCTGCTCTGTGCCGTTGGCACCCAGAGCGAGGCTGGCAGGGAGCCCAAGGGGGGGGATTTTAGGCCCCGGCCCCCCCAGCAGCCCACGCCATTTTGCAGCCCCCTGGCCACGCCCTCCTCGGCACCTCCTGCTACATGCAGCAGCTCCTGGATGCCACTGAGGAACCGAAGGAGCCGGTGAGCAGCCCAGCACTGCCCAGCCTCCTGCCCTGCAGCCTCCCAGCACTGCCCAGCCTCCTGCCCTGCAGCCTCCCACCCCTGCCACGCAGGAAGACACTGGAGTGAGGGCTGGGCACCCTGTGTCCCCTCCTCTGTCACTCCCCCCCATCTCTTGGGGGTCCCAGCACCCAGCTAGGTCAATGCTGGGGGGGAGGCTGCTGTGATGCTTCTCTTTGCACCGTGCTGGCTGAGCGTGGCCCTTCCCTGCACTCCTCACTACTCTGTAAATATATTTATTTAAGTAAAGTTCTACTGACTCCAGCTGCATCTCACCTTGCTTTGGCTGGGCGGGGGGCTTGGGAGGGGGTGGGTTAGCCACTTGCCCCACTTGGCAAGCTGGAGCTGTGATGGTGCAAGGAGAGACGTGTTGCAAGTGCTTCTCAAGGAAGCTGCTGCCTTTCTCCTCCTCCCTGCCACCCTGGCATGGAGCCAGGACTCCTCCTGGCATGAGGACACAGGGGTTCCTTCACCCCAACGCTGTTCACCCATGGCAGCTGGCACAAAACCTGCTCTTACTCCATAAAAAGGGGTGAAAGTTGCCCCTGTCCCAGGGGTGCTGCTGCTCTGTGCCGTTGGCACCCAGAGCGGGGCTGGCAGGGGGCCCAAGGGGGGTATTTTAGGCCCTGGCCCCCACAGCAGCCCCAGCATTGCACAACCCCAGGGGCTCGTGCTGCCCCATGGGGGCTGCAACTGCCCCACAGCTCCAAGGACAGCAAACTGGGAAATGAACTGGGGTGAAACTGGGGAGGCAGGGAGCCCAGACTGGGTCCCTGAAGCACAAGCCCTGTGACCCAGGGTGAGCAAGCTGGGATGGAGGGGAATGACCCACTGCCCACCTGTGCCGTACTGGGAAGCACTGGGAGAGCTGCAGAGAGGTGAGCAACACTGTGCTTTGGGGGTGCTTAGGGACAGCCCCCCTCTGACCCACTGCAGGGACACACTCACCTGAGGACTCCGCTGCTGAGGTGTGAGGCTCCAGCGCAGAGACCAGGACCAGCACAACCCACCTTGGGCTGTGGGGGCTTCATTAGCCTGATCATTAACAAGCAATCAGCCTGCAGCCTCACCTGGGGGCTGCACCTTGACATCAGGGGGGTGCCACCTGAGGATGCCAGGGTCAGCATGGCTGTCCCCCCCATGCCATGGATACACATACCTGCTGTCCCTTGTCCCCCCAGCCTGCCACCCCTGTCCCCAGGGGGTGACAGTGTCCCTGCAGTGTCCCCCACCCACATGCAGGTGGCAGCCTGGCTTTATCAGACATATTTATTTCTGTACACACTTATACACACGGTTCCCAGGGTCGCTTCATCCTTCAGTGCCATCTCCCTGCAGGGTCTGGTCCGTGGCAGGGGCACCCACAGGCTTCCCAGGGTGCCCATGGCCAAGCCCAGCCAGGCTGTGCCCTCTCCCCAGCCCTGTAGTGTCTACCTGGGGGCAGAGCTCTCCCCCACACCCCACAGCTCCCCAGATGGGGCAGGGTCACACGCCTTCGCCCTGCCTCAGTTTCCCTGCAGCACGGTAGGGGCTCCTCGCACCAGGGGCTGGGGGGGGTCAGCCCCCCCCATGCAAGCACCATGCTTCCCTCCACAGGGTCCTTGACCTGTGAACATGCAGGATCCCCAACCCAGGGTGAAGTTGGGGGACCTCCGGATGCTGAAGCTGCCCCAGTAGAGCCTCCATCACTCTGACTCCTACAAGTTGTGTGGGGGGGGTGCCAGCCATTGGATCCCAGTCCCCCAGCTCCTGCAGCCCCCTGAGTGGCAGGGGGGGCTTGGGAGAGGGGGCTTTACTTGACATGCTCAGCAGCATGGGAGGAGCAGTAATACTTCTTGTGGGCGATGAAGGTGGAAAGGCTGCTGAACTTGATGTTGCAGAGGCGACAGTACCTGTGGTTGCCGTTGGGCATGGGGACGGGCACAGCCTTGGCCAGGGGGGTCTGCACCCCCCTGTCTGTGTAGGTGGGGGGCGTGGGGGGCTCGCGGACACCTTCCCGCAGTCCCTCGGGGGCTCCGGGCGAAGCAGGAG